TTATATATAACTAATTATATATAAATATGTAATTTTATTGATATCCAAAAATATTGCTACACTATCTTATATCCAAAATAACACAATAAACTCACCCAAACCTTCTGATTCAAATAAAATAATCAATAACGTTATAATATAATCGATTTGTTATATAATTTCAGGAGTAATCGTGACACCTGTGGTATACTCGGCGCAAACATTAACCGGTGCCTTAATAGGAACCTGTTTATTCTCATTGGTCGCTGGCTTTGCATCCGGTTTTTGGTTTTCTCAAAGATTACGTGGTACACCATACCCGGAACCATCTGAACAACGTCAACAATTAAATCGATTAACGGAAAGTTCCGAATCACCGGGATTCAACAATAAATCGATCAATCTTGTATTAAACGTACCACCTAAGAACCCGAATGGTAAAAATGCAAATTCATCGGCAGAGAACAAACCAGTGCAGAAGGTTAAGAAGACGTACATATGATATAGAAGACGACAAAGGGCCGTTTGAGGCTTATCCTCACAGGATCCCACGGATTTCGGTACTTCCTCATCGTCCTTCGATCTTGCCGAGTCAGACGATAGAAACGACGACGAGGAGGAGGAAGAGGACGAGGAAGAGGAGGACGATGACGATGACAATGACGATGATCATCATCATCATCATCATCATAATCATCATCATCATCATCAAGATGATGCCTATGATTACGAAGGTGTTGAATGCAACGAATATAACAATGGAAGGAATAAAAAACAACAGCAACAGCAGAAGAAAAAGACGAAAAAGAAACATAGGAAAAACTTGAGAGAAGATTTAGGAAATCGTTGCATTCCAATTCAACAACAACAACAACAACAACAACGATCATCCATTTCGTCAGGCATCGTAGAGTCCTATGAAAACAAAACCGAACCGTGGGTTCCTCTGGAGTACCTCCTATCTTCTACGAAAGAAACAACAGACATTTATGATACGCGATATCATCCGTACCAACAATCACAAAATCGTTTTGTTCCTCGTCAACATGAATCACGTACTGGTGGAGGAAGTGGGGGTGGTGGTGGTGGTGCAGGAGGAGGAGGAGGTGGACCGATACGAGGAACAACAGGAAGTGGTGTTGGTGGTGTTGGTGTTGATGGTGAAAATCAAGAATTGGATTACATCGAAACGGTTATTAGCAGTACTCCAAATCCTTCGAATTGTCCTAGAAAACGTAGCGACAGTAACAGCAGTAGCAACAGTAGTAGCAGCAGTGCTATGACAACCATAAGTACCAACTCGAACGATCTACTTCGTAAACTTCGTCGTAGTTCAATTACTACGAATTCAGCCTCGTTCGTATTTGATTTAGCTCAAGCAGGTGATGATATATCATCGTCATCAAATCCACGCGATCATTACATGATACCAACGAGAAATCCCCGTGAATTAAACGAAAGAATCCTATCGTTATTCAATCCACAATTTTTACCTAATTTCAATGACATGGTCAGATACATGGCAGCATCACAACATGAACCACCTGGTCATCATTCACGTAATACTAATTCTAGATCAATCAATGCAGCCGAGACACGTTTATTCAGGAATACAAATAATCGTCGGAGAAAACGAAATAGCATCAATGAATCCATGCTTTTTCGTCAGGGATTGGTTTATCAAGTACCACGTGGCGAATAAATAATAATCTATCTATAAAACGCGTTTTACTTTTCAATCAATTAAATATACATTATTGTACATCTATATGTGTACGTGGTGTATATATATATATATATATAAAAGTAAATATAATTCACATCGACAAATCTCTTACATCGCAAAAATTGTTTATTAAAATAACAATATTACGTATTATTATCCTACGAGATACGTAATACTCAAACGTTACCTGATTACGGCGGGACTTAATTTTGGATTTGTTTTTTTTTTCGAATTTTTTTTCGAATTTGAAATATGAAAAATGAAGAGAATAACTTAATAAAATAAGATGATGACGATGATGATGATGATGATGATGATGATGATGATGATGAAAAAGAAGAAAATGAAATACTATTACGTCTCCTTCCATGAAGAAGAAGCTGAAATAATTTCAGTGAAGATGCTGAAGAAAAATAAGAAGAAGAAGAAGAAGAAGAAGCAGAAGAAGAAGAAGAAGAAAAATGTGAAAACGATCTTCCATCGTAGGACGCAACAACGTGGGAATAACGAACTATTTTTTTAAACTAATTACTCTCGACGGTTCTTTCTCCCTCTCCCTCTTACCCCCCACCTCTCACTCTCTCTCTCTCTCTCTCTCTCTCTAATAATCCTTCTTCTCTCTTACCTAATCTTTTCGTTGATTCGATTAGTTCAATTCATCAGAACGTCATTTAAAAATTGACGTAAAACCCCCGTATTAAAAACGAGATACGTTTTCATTCACGTCGAGAGAGTCCCATTTAAAAATTCCATTTTTTTTTTTTTTTGTTTTTTCTTTAACTCGACAAAAGGGGAAAGAATAAAAGGAAAAGACGAACGGAATTATTTAAGTGACTAATTAATTGACAACGCGTTGGAAAGAATTAAACCGCAACTCTTTTTTTACTTTTGGAACGAAGTACGAGCTAAACGTAATAATAATAATAATAATAATAATAATAATAATAATAATAATAATAATAATAATAATAATAATAATAATTATACGTTTATGGGGGGGGGGATGGTAGTAGAGTATGATGGTTTCTCTCAGTGTGTACTATTGTAACAATGTGATACGGATCTGAATAGAATACTATCGTGTGTTCGTAGAAGTGGCCTGTTTGTGTCTTTTTTGTATAGGTGCTTAGATAAGTATACAAAAAAGGAAAAAAAATAAAAAGATAAAGGGAGAAAGAGATAGAGAGAGAGAGAGAGAGAGAGAAAGGAAGATGAATAAGGAACAAACATAAGAAAAAAATGATAATTAAAATTGTTATGCGTAGTTGAGAGACATTACTAATGAGCATTCGCGCGAGACGAGGCGTGCCTTCCGTTGTATTAATTGTTGGCAAATTTTTCGTGTTTAGATCGATAGTAAATGAGAGAAAGAAACGATAAAGATAAAGAGAGAGAGAGAGAGAGAGAGAAAAAGAGAAAGAGAGAAAAAGAATATGATTCAAATTCAGATAATATGAAACGAATAGAAGAGAATTATCGACTAAAGAAATATTTCATCAAGTGAATACATATATGTATATATATATATGTATATATATATATATACACACATACAGTCACATATATATATATTATATATATATAAATATTCGGGCAAGTGCCTCATTTAAAAAAAAAAAAAAGAGAAACTGTTTCGTTTGAAATATATTACTTTAAAAAAACGGATGAGATATTAAGGATGAGATAAGATAGAAAATGAGAGAGAGAGAGAGAGAGAGAGAATGAGAGAGAGATAGAAATATAAAAAATAAAAAGAAACGAAAAAGAGAGAAAGAAACTTAACACAATTAGTGAGACTAATTTTGGTAATGTTGTGCACTTATTAATGTGCTGTGAATATCGGATTAAGTGTTTGTCGGGTTTATATGGAAGAAAAAGATAATGGAAGGAGATAAAAGAGGTGAAAGAAATAATAGATGAGATTTAAGAATAGAGAAAATGATCATGGCACCCAGGCACGCACGTTTATATATACGATTTCCTTTTATTCGTCACCTGATCTTTCTTATTTCTTTGTTTTTTTTTGTTTTTTGATTCTTTATTCAATCATTTCGATTTTTACGTAGGTTTTATCAATGCATATAATTTAAATGAACATTTGTTAATCAATATTATATAATAATATGTGAGTTTGTCGTCCACTCACATCATCATCAAACCATTTCTACACAATAATCTAATATTTGAATTATTTTATTGATATAATAATGCAATTTTGAAAGAGAATTTAATCGTATATAATTAATCTTAATTGTTTTTTTTTTTTTTT